TCCCACCAGTTATTGAAATGTGTGATCCTAGTTGTGATGCTATAGGGCCAGGATATATATCGGTGTGATTGTTGATAACACACACCCAGGGGGCCTCATTACAATATCTATATCACAGCTACACAGTCAGTCATGCAACTGCCATGACACGTCTTGTACCTTTCTCCAAATTTTTTAAAATTCTGATGGATTTTTGAAGATAAATTTTCTTAAAAGGATATGAGGGCTCTATTGGTCTCCATTGAGATATATGATCAGGTATGTTTGGTTACATTGTGAGCTGTATTGGTCTCCAGTGAGATATATGATCAGGTATGTTTGGTTACATTGTGAGCTCTATTGGTCTCCAGTGAGATATATGATCAGGTATGTTTGGTTACATTGTGAGCTCTATTGGTCTCCAGTGAGATATATGATCAGGTATGTTTGGTTACATTGTGAGCTCTATTGGTCTCCAGTGAGATATATGATCAGGTATGTTTGGTTACATTGTGAGCTCTATTGGTCTCTAGTGAGATATATGATCAGGTATGTTTGGTTACATTGTGAGCATGTGTGTTGGTATCCTGCTTGTTTGGTATTGGGGGATTGTGTGGCTGTAATGGCTGCTAAGTATGGGGAGAGTCCTGCAGAAGTCCTGACCTTAAAGGCGAGGCCCGGTGGCCTGGTTGATTGCCTGTCATTGTACCCCGATGACATGGATTGTTGCTCACAATATCAGTCACTGGATTGTCTTGTCCCAAAATATAGCAGAAATATTGCTGAGTCTGGCGTTAAACAACAAACAAAGGAAGCAAGCTGGCTATGGATAACAGACAGCATGTCACTATGATTAATTTTATAATCCTTAACTGCGACCAGCAATATTATTGTTATGTAAATAATGGAGTCTGCAAACCAGAAAATGATTGATAGCCTGATGGAATATTGTTGAAATGACAATAAAGGGGTCCTTGTTATAACCATATTCTTAAAAGACTTTAAAAGATGGTACTTGTTGTTACCCTGCCTGCCTATCTACATTGTAGATATTGCTGCAATGAAATGGCATCACAATGCTTTGCAGACCATTGTGCCGTCATTGGTTACCAAATAAATCAAATAACAACTGAAAAAGTTGGAAGAATGATGTTGGATGATAAATAGAATCTCACCCTTGAGTCTTTTGATATCAAATACATCAACACTTGTCTATAAAAGTTCAAAACTCCTCAGCAAGCCTTGGAGTTTTAAACTTTTATTGACTCGTGTAGACTTGGGGGAGATTCTAAATTTATCATCCAGAAGTTGTTTCCACCGGAGATATCGCTTGGAAAGATCAAGTGACATATCCCAGGAGATATCGCTACAAAGAAATTGCATCACAATGCTTTGCAGGCCATTGTGACTTAATCAGTTACCATGACATCACAAGCAAATGACATCACTCTCTGACACTAAAACTATGTTTTTTACATTCAAAAAGCTGGTAATTAGATTCTTGTAAGTAGGAAGAATGATTTGAGATGATAAATGGTATCTCATCCTTGTGTCTTTTAATATCAAATATATATCAACACAGTTTTTAACTGCTGTCAACTCATGTTGATATATTTGATATCAACAGACACTCGGGTGCGATTCTCTGTTTGTTGATAGTCGTCCGTGCCTTAACAGGAATGCAAAGTCATCTGAAACCAGATTTCACTTTGTAATTGGTTTCTGTCCACAAGGATATGTTGACAGGTCAGATTAAGATAGAGGAATATCAATCGCCTGACCTAGTTTACAAGCATGTGTAGTTTTTCCTCTATAACAGAACGTTAACTGATTTAATGTCCTTAATGGCTGCCATCAGCTTGGATAGACATTGGAAAGGAAGGCGCTAAAAGCACCTGCGGTTATTTTGGCAACAAAGAGTTTTTGAGTTTTTATGGCGTTGATTACAATCCAGTTGTTAAATTGTTTGTGTCAAGAAGTATTAAGTGTGCATATGTAGATTTAACTGTACTGAGAGACAATTTGCTAGTGAAAGTTTTCTGGTGCAAATGTGATTATGTCTTTTAAACTTTTTCTTTATGTTCAGCTTATAAGCTAAGCAGTCATATTAGAACCACTTTTCAACTGATGTTAGTGTCATGGCCATCGTTTGTCTACTGCAATACCCATAGTGGCAATGTTGTGTGGACTGGTGTGGTTCCTATGATATTCTGTATGTTTTCCACCTGAGAACCTCATTTAAGCATCAGACCCGTAAACATCCGGGGTAGAACAGGTCTTGAGCAACCCATGCTTGCCCTAAAAGGTGACTATGCTAGTCGTAAAAGGCAGTTTACGGGATCAGGTGGTCAGGCTTGCTGACTTGGTTGATGCATGTTATCCTATCACAGTTGCGTGGATCGATGCTCATGATGTCAATCACTGGATTGTCTTGTCCAGACCTGATTATTTACAGACCGCCGTCATATAGCTCGAATATTTCTGACTGTTGCGTTAAACAACAAAGAAACAAACATCAAACAGAGTAACCGCATATTTCCCTTCTTCTGATATGAGTGGCTATGTGAACCAAGGGACTGTTATTTTCTGGGTTTTGTTCCAAATCTTTGTCAGGATTTGTTTGACTTGGTTTAAATCCCAGATTTGCTCTCATTAGGATTCCGGGCAGTTAGCATCACACCTGTTCCATGTGCCTTCACCAAAGGGAGGTGTCCATGTTAACCTGCAGCATGGTATCTCAGTGGGCTAGCGGGGCGGTCAGGTAGCCTTCAGGTTAAAGCGTTCGCTTGTCATGCCGAAGACCTGCGTTCGATTACCGACAAGGGTACAATTTGTGACGCTCATTTCTGGTGTCCCACTGGAATATTGCTAAAAGCGGCGTAAAACTCACTCACTCACTCACACAGTGGGCTAGCACTATAAAACTGGCATTAGTCCAGACTAGTACAAGAACATTGCTATACAAGTGCAAAAATCTTGAATGTTTGGTTTAACCTTATTTCGTTCACCTAAGAGTAAAAAGATCTTGCAGTTGAGCTGAAATTTTGTCATTCATTGTCATCCCAAATAGTCAGCTTGTATAGTTCTGAAAGAACAGGTTACAGTTTATCAAGACTCTGCTGAAAGTAGGTCAGTTGTCAGGAAGTATTCCGCAAAATCTTTTCCTCTGACCAACTGACTGACAAATTAGGTCTTCTTTCAGGTTAAGTCAATACCTCAGAGTTAGGCACAAAGGGACATCACTCTAAGTGACATTTTGACATGCTGTCTTTGTTAGCCTCACATGTACCTGGAGCAGGTTCCAGTGTCTTGGGAGCAACCCTCAACATTATTACCTTCAGTCAAGTATGGCTGGTAATGGGTCAGGTGTGGGTTTAGAAATGGGTCATTTATTGAGTAGAGGTACATAAACTTTATAGTCAAGTAGTTCATGTATACCGACTGGCATTGAGACTTACAGGGAGATCAGACAGATTCACACTTGTACCTTTTTAACCTCTCCTTCTACTGCAGTTTTTATCATATCAAGAGCATCTTTAATGTCTGTGATGTTTTCATTAATATAATAGCACAACCACTTCTTTTTTCATTTAGGTTTTATATGAATTGAAAGACTGGTGAATACCTCTGATCTAGAAATGAACATTTCGAGTTGACTCACTAGTAGATAACTAGTTGTACACATGTCAGAAATGTTTGATAAAATTCAGGCTCTCTGATGTGTATGAATTAATTTATGAGAAGTGTGTGTTGGTGTGGGAATGCATGAATGAATGACTTTGAACTTAACACATGTTCTTATTTTTTTACTTCATTAACAAACAGTATTTTATGATCTCCATGTCATGTTGCACAGTGTCAAGACAACATGACATGAGTTATTCATACCACAGAGGACAGTAAGATACCCAGAAGACAAACACATGTTTTTGATGAAACAGTTACAATGGTAGGAGCTCTGCTTCAGTCTGAATCAGATTAGAGACAGGGTATATTACCATTGATTTTGAAGGTTTCTACAGGGTGGGATCATATTATAGATGGTGGTATAGTATTAAGGAATTATTTTATTGTATTCTATCGAAAGGTGAAATTGATGGAAACTTACTAATAAATATGATTCCGTGGTATGACATTCTTTCTTCTTAAACAGTGAGTAATTGGGTGAGTAAATGTGGTTTTACGCTGCTTCTACCTGTATTCCACCAATATCACGGCACGGGACACCAGAAATGGGCTTCACACATTGCACCAATGTGGGGAAACAAACCCGAGTCTTCGGCAAATGCTTTAAACACTAGGCTACCCCATCATCCCTCTTACACAGTAAATATTAAGAAGTAAAATTATTGAAACATTTGATATTGTTACAGGGTGGGGGCTGTCACATTAGGGATGGCCATATACTGTATGTTGTAGTGATGGGTATTGGCCGGACATTTGTATTGCAATTTGTTGAAATAATGATTCATGCATTGTGATACGTACCACAATATATTGCATGTGTTCTTTCATCGGTAGTTTGTTTTGAACCTGCATTAAAAAGGACAACTTCCCCCAAACATATTTGACAACTTTGTAATCATCCACCATTTTGCTATAAGTATGAGTAATAGATGCATTATAGATCTACATAGGAAGTTGGTCCCGAATAGTTTCGCTTTGATCCCAGAAAACAGTTGCTTATTTCTAAATATCATAATTTCAATTTGATTTTTCACTTATGTAACCTTTGCTAACAAGATGAATCTATGAATGATTTAGAAAAACGCAATATACCAGTGTTTTCCAAATGTATGGTGTTACATGTTCATCAGAATTTCATCAAATTAGAGTTAGAATTGGTCTTCATTGGCCTCGTATGATGCAACTAACAGGATCGGGTGGTCAGGCATGCTGACTTGGTTAATGCATCCAAATTGAATAGATCTATTCAATCAATATTGCTGAGTGTGTCATAAAACAACAAACAAACAAACAAACACCAAATTAGATGCCTACAACCCTGTCTATATTTGCAGTGCGTTGTGAAGGGAGTGCTGCCACCACTACGTGAGGATGAAGAGCCAGAGGGGGAATCTACACGATGCCAGAGTCTTCAGAGTCCCAGAACAGCCAAAACAGTCCCATGGCGCCATCGGTTCGTCTGCCATCACCAACACGAGCCATCATACAGGGAGGTAGCTCCAGGAGAGACAATGGGTCAGGAAGCGTTGTTGGTCAGTTGTCATCATCATCGTATTCCAATCTGGCAGCAGCACAGAGGAAGAACCGCCTAAACTCTGCCAAGTATTATGACATCGCATCGACCATTCTTGCAGGTGGACCTGACTTTGATGAGCTGTTTCTTGCTGCAGCTAGGGTAGGTCTACTATATTTGAATGTTCTTTTTAGCTCACCTGACTGAAAGTTTAGTGAGATTATGTCATGGCCTCCTTGTCCAGTGTCCATCAGCATCAGTGATTGTAAACCACTGGACCAATGAAGCTGAAACTTCACATGCTTGTTTCGCCAATGATGACACCTGAATTTGCTCAAGAAGTTCAAATCCTCAACACATATGTTCTGTTTTATCGCAATATTTTAAATTTGGGACCTTTGCACTTTGGACCATGATCCTGAATCCTAAATGCATTTTTTGGCACTGTAATCATCATCACCTCTGAAAAACTCTTGACTAATTGTTTTCAAGAGCTTCGATTTTGATTTTCAATATGGCTGCCGAGGCAGGAGTATGGTGTATCGATGTCCCATGTTTACATCTCTTAGTGTAGGTCTGTCCTTGATGCCCTGTATGTTTTGGATGGTTTTAAATGAAACAGTTGCAATGGTAGGAGCTCTGCTTCAGTCTGGATCAGATTAGAGACAGGGTATATTACCATCGATTTTGAAGGTTTCTTCAGGGCGGGATCATATTATAGATGGCGGTATACAGTATTAAGGAATGGCTGACCTTACAGGTGGATGTCACAACATATGTAACCATGTATCATGTGTTTCCAGGATGGGGAGTATGACAAGATTGAGCACTTCCTCCAGGGAAGGAGTGACGTCATCATCAGCATTGATGCCAAGGACAAGCGGACCGGGAATACACCTCTCATCTGGGCAGCAAAGAAGGGGCACGCAAAGGTCTGTAGCAAGTACTGGCACAGTTACATCATGTCAGATTGATAGATACCAGACACATATCACCTACCTGTTTGTTACCTGTTTGCGTATGCTGTTAAGTGTTTTATTCATATCTACCCATGGGGATCCCAACATAGGGTTAGTCCCAAGCAACCAGTTCTGGTTGTAAGAGGCCATGTAATGGATAGGGCGCTTGGGGTCAGGCTCAGTAACTTGTTTGATAGTGTGTCATCATACCCTGATGGCATGGATAGTTGCTAATAGTATCAACCTCTTGATTATCTGGACTCAGTTATCTACAGCCCAACTTCAAATGGGTGGAATATGTCTGAATGGTCTTAGACAACAAACAGACATTGAAATATTTTTTGGCTATTTTGTCGTCTACATTATACCTCAATCAGCAGAGTAAAGATACTGTGGTACAGCGCTGTAACCTGTATAAAGCCAGATCCCAACTCATCAAGTTTGGTTCATTTTGCAAAATAACCCTGGTTGTGTAATAGTCATGTAAACTAGTGAAACTAGTTAATCCAGTTTCAATATGGAATCTGAGATGACCCAACTATTTCCCACTCGACGTGAGTTAGAAATAGTAGGGTGACAATTTAAATGCCATGTTTTGTCTTTATCAATAAAGTGGGAGTGAACAGTGGCTTCCTTTAAGGTCACATTCTTTGATCTATTGCCATGTGCCTGTGTCGTGCCAGTATCTGAAGCTTGTATTGATAGTTCATGATGGTCAAGTCATGTTAAAAATTAAAGTCCCTTGATTTAAGACCCGTGAAGATCCGGGGTAGAATAGGTCTTCAAGCAACCCATGCTTGCCGTAAAAGGCGACTATGCTTGTCGTAAAAGGCGACTAACGGTATCGGGTGGTCAGGCTCGCTGACTTGGTTTGATGCATGTCATCGATCCCAATTGCGTGGATTGATGTTCATGATGTAAATCACTGGATTGTCTGGTCCAGACTCGATTATTTACAGACCGCCGTCATATAGCTGGAATATTGCTGAGTTCGGCGTAAAACAACAAACCAAACCAAAAAACAAAACCCTTGATTTAAATACAACAGGAGAAAATCTCAAGGACCATAGGACCCCCCATTAATTTCGAAGACGTCTCTGTCGCTGGCTGGCCTGGCACAGCGCTGATGAGCTCGGCTCCTGTCATATAGCTGGAATATTACTGACTGTGGCGCCAAACAACATTTACTCACTCACTTACCAATATTGTAAGTGGGTGAGTATGGCTTTCAGCGCTTTTGGCAATATTCCAGCAGTATCCCAGCAAGGCTCCACCCATTGTATCCATGTGGGGAATCGAACCTGGGCCTTCGGCATGACGAGCAAACACTTTAACCACTTGGCCACCCCACTGCCCCACCAATATTGTGAAAAACTGTAGACTCACAGTGTACAGGTACTCCTTTAAGATCTTCTTTGACCTGGTGCCATGTGCTTATGTGGTACTGAAAGTGTCTATGTGGTATTGAAAGTGAAGCTGTGATATTGAAAGTGCCTGTGTTGTACTGAAAGTGCCTGTGTGGTATTGAAAGTACCTGTGTGGTATTGAAAGTGCCCATGTGGTATTGAAAGTGTCTGTGTGGTATTGAAAGTGCCTGTGTGGTATTGAAAGTGCCTATGTGGTATTGTAGTGCCTGTGTGGTATTGAAAGTGCCTATGTGGTATTGTAGTGCCTGTGTGGTATTGAGGTGCCTGTGTGGTATTGAAAGTGCCTGTGTGGTATTGTAGTGCCTATGTAGTATTGTAGTGCCTGTGTGGTATTGAAAGTGCCTGTGTGGTATTGAAAGTGCCTATGTGGTATTGTAGTGCCTGTGTGGTATTGAAAGTGCCTGTGTTGTACTGAAAGTGCCTGTATGGTATTGAAAGTGCCTGTGTGGTATTGAAAGTGCCTGTGTGGTATTGAAAGTGCCTGTGTGGTATTGAAAGTGCCTGTGTTGTATTGAAAGTGCCTATGTGGTATTGTAGTGCCTGTGTGGTATTGAAAGTGCCTGTGTGGTATTGTAGTGCCTGTGTGGTATTGAAAGTGCCTGTTTGGTATTAAAAGTGCCTATGTGGTATTGTAGTGCCTGTGTGGTATTGAAAGTGCCTGTGTGGTATTGAAAGTGCCTGTGTGGTATTGTAGTGCCTGTGTGGTATTGAAAGTGCATGTATGGTATTGAAAGTGCCTGTATGGTATTGAAAGTGCCTGTGTTGTATTGAAAGTGCCTATGTGGTATTGTAGTGCCTGTGTGGTATTGAAAGTGCCTGTGTGGTATTGTAGTGCCTGTGTGGTATTGAAAGTGCCTGTGTGGTATTGAAAGTGCCTATGCCGTATTGTATTGCCTGTGTGGTATTGAAAGTGCATGTGTGGTATTGTAGTGCCTGTGTGGTATTGAAAGTGCCTGTGTGGTATTGAAAGTGCCTGTGTGGTATTGAAAGTGCCTGTATGGTATTGAAAGTGCATGTGTGGTATTGAAAGTGCATGTGTGGTATTGAAAGTGCCTGTGTGGTCTTGAAAGTGCCTATGTCGTATTGTATTGCCTGTGTGGTATTGAAAGTGCATGTGTGGTATTGAAAGTGCCTGTATGGTATTGAAAGTGCATGTGTGGTATTGAAAGTGCATGTGTGGTATTGAAAGTGCATGTGTGGTATTGAAAGTGCCTGTATGGTATTGAAAGTGCATGTGTGGTATTGAAAGTGCATGTGTGGTATTGAGAGTGGCTGTGTGGTATTGAAAGAAGTTATTTGTTTCCATCAATATCTCTCTTCCATCTAGATCGTGCAACTGCTGCTGAAGCATGGCGCCGACCCGACACTGCGGAACTACGAGGGCCAGGTGGCAGTGGAGGTTGCATTGGCTTCCATCAAGATGATACTCCTGGATTCTGTAGAGAAGACCACCGAGTCATCACATCGACTGTTACTTCAGGCAGCGTGGCAGGGAAACATCAAAATTGTCCGAAAGTTGCTGGTGAGACTACTGTGTATTTCCAATGTAGACATTTAGTTGTTGGATCTTCAGACGTTGTCTTGGTTAAGGTCTAGGTCTGGAAGTATTGTTTGGGCTGGATGAAGATGTGGAATGTAAAGACTGGAGAAACTTTGAGGAAATGACAGTGAAGGGGCTGCTTCTGTTTCTGCATTACCATATTTCCTTTACTAGATGCCAGGGTATCCCTTAATTTCGTGCAAGCCGTGACCCAGCATCTATTCTGTTCAATGCTGGCACAGTGGCAACTCACTACCTTACCGAATCACAAATTCTACAGTCATACACAGTGGGCAAGTGCAGAATATGGTCATTATTAATCATCAACATATCACAGCATGAGAGACCTGGTGTAACAGGATACACATCCCCCAAGCCAGTTCTTCCCAGGGGAAGATTTGTATGAGGCTATTTTGTCCCCAGGGAATAACTATTGTAGACCAAACCTTCATCAGGACGGACCTGCCATTGGAGGCTGGTGTGTATTGGAGGCTGGTGTGTATTGGAGGCCTGGTGTGTATTGGAGGCTGGTGTGTATTGGAGGCTGGTGTGTATTGGAGGCTGGTGTGTATTGGAGGCCCGTTGTGTATTGGAGGCTGGTGTGTATTGGAGGCCCGTTGTGTATTGGAGGCCCGGTGTGTATTGGAGGCCGGTGTGTATTGGAGGCTGGTGTGTATTGGAGGCCCGTTGTGTATTGGAGGCTGGTGTGTATTGGAGGCTGGTGTGTATTGGAGGCCCGGTGTGTATTGGAGGCCCGGTGTGTATTGGAGGCTGGTGTGTATTGGAGGCCCGGTGTGTATTGGAGGCTGGTGTGTATTGGAGGCTGGTGTGTATTGGAGGCCTGGTGTGTATTGGAGGCCCGGTGTGTATTGGAGGCTGGTGTGTATTGGAGGCTGGTGTGTATTGGAGGCCCGGTGTGTATTGGAGGATGGTGTGTATTGGAGGATGGTGTGTATTGGAGGCCCGGTGTGTATTGGAGGCTGGTGTGTATTGGAGGCTGGTGTGTATTGGAGGCTGGTGTGTATTGGAGGCCCGGTGTGTATTGGAGGCTGGTGTGTATTTGAGGCTGGTGTGTATTGGAGGCCCGGTGTGTATTGGAGGCCCGGTGTGTATTGGAGGCTTGTGTGTATTGGAGGCTGGTGTGTATTTGAGGCCCGGTGTGTATTTGAGGCTGGTGTGTATTGGAGGCTGGTGTGTATTGGAGGCTGGTGTGTATTGGAGGCTTGTGTGTATTGGAGGCTGGTGTGTATTAGAGGCCCCGGTGTGTATTGGAGGCCCGGTGTGTATTGGAGGCCCGGTGTGTATTGGAGGCTGGTGTGTATTGGAGGCTGGTGTGTATTGGAGGCCCGGTGTGTATTGGAGGCCCGGTGTGTATTGGAGGCTGGTGTGTATTGGAGGCCCGGTGTGTATTGGAGGCTGGTGTGTATTGGAGGCCCGGTGTGTATTGGAGGCTGGTGTGTATTGGAGGCTGGTGTGTATTGGAGGCTGGTGTGTATTGGAGGCCCGGTGTGTATTTGAGGCTGGTGTGTATTGGAGGCTGGTGTGTATTGGAGGCCCGGTGTGTATTGGAGGCTGGTGTGAATTAGAGGCCCCGGTGTGTATTGGAGGCTGGTGTGTATTGGAGGCCCGGTGTGTATTTGAGGCTGGTGTGTATTGGAGGCCCGGTGTGTATTGGAGGCTGGTGTGTATTGGAGGCCCGGTGTGTATTCGAGGCTGGTGTGTATTGGAGGCCGGTGTGTATTAGAGGCCCCGGTGTGTGATAGAGGAACTACAGTAGTTGCAAACACCTCTCTTTAGTAACTGTTAGATTGTGTCTTCCTATAGGGCCAAGCCTTAGTTTCCTCTTTCAAGAATGTTCTTTTTGATAAAAAATTATTCACTGAATGAAAATATCTCTACTTCATAATCCAACAAAACACATGACATTATGACGTTATTTCCTCATGGATAATACCATGGTCAATAAAACTTGGTTGACGGACATCATTAAAGGAAAAGTGAACCTATTAATAAAGTCTGAAAGGTTGATAATGTTAAACAGTATGTAGCAATACGGACCAGACTTATTCAGCAAACGTGGTTCAAAAGGCAACATATTCAGATATCTTCTAATAAATCGAAATAAATAAGTTGCCAGGCGGCCACAAGGACCCACAAACTTCAAACTTGCAGGTCCTGACTAAATACTTCAGGCCCTCATTTAAAAAAACCCCTGCAGCTTTGTGACAGGTAAGTCGAGACTAAAATTTACTGCAGAAGGAAAGGCCCTAGACAAGTCTGAAACTATGGTCCCAACATGAGATCTACCTGACACAAGCCTATGTCGCCTCTTGCGACAAACATACCTTATTCGACGTAATAAGCACCCAGTCCTAATAAGCGCCCACGGCGATATTTGCTAATATATTGGCTAGTGAACAATCCCAATTAGCACCCCTTCCAATTGATCAATGTACACAAGACGTATTTATTCGTGTATAATACGCACTCGTGTGTTATATGCACCCTTAATTATGGGCAATTAAATTCTGCAAAATATATTTGTCATGTATAATACGACTTTTCTTCTGTATCATTTCAGGCTGTCAGCATAAACCACGAAATTTACGATCTTTCAACTCTTTTTTTTCTCACCAAAATTATATTCTAATAAGAGCCCCCTTTTTCTAATTTTGAGAGCGCCCTGGGCGCTTATTACATCGAATACAGTAGTTGCCTTTTATGGCAAGCATGGGTTGCTGCAGACCTATTCTATCCTAGACCTATCCCGGATCTTCACGGGTCAAATTGTATATAGAGATATGGTTACTGCAGTTACATATCTGGTGTCTGTCTCCTCAGGCCAGATCCTTTGTTTGAAATATGCCTCTGTTCACCCAGCGGTTAATGGGTACCCGGTAGGATGAGATTGTAATGTGACTCTTAACCTTCTAGTGGCTCACAGGCAGTGCGAACCATATACACCTCAGGGAGCTGAGAATGAAAATCCATTGAACAGATAATAATGTAGTGCTTTGCGCATGCTTTTAGGTCCATAGGTACTGGTATGTGGACATTATAAACTGGAACTAAAAAAAAATATTGTTATGTGAGTTTTGTCCCCATTTTGAGAATGCCAGGCCTTAAGTATGTTATTTAGACAAAATTAGGAACATTAGAGTCATAGTTTTTTGTGTCGTTGCATTGTGACATCCTGCTCATGAGATTTTGATTTAGCACCTTGTATACAAGCAATATCTTTATTTAAGGGCCTGACATTGTCTGTTTTTCTAGTCCATCCTGGTATAAAAAAAGTCCTCAGTCTGCATGAAACAGCACATGATAAGTTACCCACTGGTGATATTTGATTTACAGTTCACCATGTGGGTCCGGAGCCTGTGATAGTGGCGGTAGTGTGGGTCTTATGTTCATGAGCTGGATTACCTGGCAATATACACCTGTCAATATCCCTCGTTACTCTCTTGACGTGCGTCAATATCACCAGACTAATAAATTTTGTCAATGGTCGGCTGTCAGAGAGAGCTGATAGTGTCATTGGGGGCAACGCTGCTATGTCTTTGTGGATTTATGACCATTGTTCCGGAGTTTGACTGTAATGATACTGCAATATAACTACAGTACGTAAGCTAATGGGCTTTGTTGATTTTAAAAGATTATTAACTTGTAATGTATATTACTCAAAAGAAGTTACGAACAGCGAATCTTTCATATTACTATTGTTAATCTGTCATTGGCAGATAATGAGTACCAATAAGGGAAACTTTCACAGGGTTTTTTGCGACTCACAAATGTGTGTCCAGTACTCAAAAATGTGGAGAATGGACGCAGAGGAAAGAAATATACTGCCTCCTTATGGGACGCCCAATAATATTCATTGTATCTACAGGACATTAAGAGCAGTAACGGCAATCATGACCACTGTCCACATGATCACTGATTCATTCCTGGCTCTCAAGTAATTATCTAAACGTACAGTACACTGCACCATTCCATTACTTCACAGGACCCTCATAATGCCTGCAAAGACCCTTAAAATTAATTATAGGAGGTCCCCCAGACTCCTACTTTTGTAAGTCAAGGCAAAACCCTAATTACAGAATTACTTGTGTAACAGCTCTTTTTTTAGTTATAGAATATATTTTCATCATATATAAAATATATACATATATACTACTCAAAAGAAGTTAAGGATCACCCGATTAGTTTCTATTACTATAGTTTATCTTTCATGCCATTACAGATTAACAATAGTAATTTGAAAGAATCTGCTGATCCTCAAGTTCTTTTGAGTAGTATATGTCACATGCAATTCATTATGAATGCTCATGTATATGCCTTGCTCATGTAACAAAAGACTAATTAAAATGATTACTGCAATAAAGCTTTACTTCTGAATGAGATAATTCAGGACATATATATTAATGAGTGTTACTTGTGTACTACAGGATGGAACTTCACGTAGCCACTTCACGTAGCCACTTCACGTAGCCACTTGTGTATTGTTTATCTTTTGTGATACAGCTTCCTCCATGTCTGCTGTTGACATACATTGTTCAGTAATTAATGTCAACAGATGTCTTCTAACTGTTCTAATTAGAATGCTTTTCTTTGTTTAAGGACAAGCATGACAAGTTTTGAAAAAAACCATGAATAAATATGATTAAAATGCTGTGATTAATTGAAAATAATCTTTTTGTAAACAATTTTTGTCAAAAATTTAAACATTTATTCTAAGAGTATAGGAAATAAACCCCAAACTCCCTTACACCATTCAATTCATTTTAGTTGTTCTTTCTGTGCATTTGCATACTCTTACTTAAACAAACTTTAACCCTTAGACTGCTGAATTATATTGAAGAGCCTCATAAAGTGAATTTGATCTTTTCTGACACATAATTGAATTTTACAAATTTGAATTTTATCTAAAAAAATTACCTTTTTTTACAATTTTGTGCAGTTGTTTCTTTTGCAACCATCCCTAAAAATTGTTATATCTAAAAGTATCGGCCTAATCATCTTAAAACTTTTAAAGTCAGGTACAGAATGTCCACAAATTATTTGTCTGGAAAAGTCACGATCTAACGTGCATTTGTTGGTTCAATAAACATAACATGAAATACAACAGGAATTTTAAATCCGAAAAGCATGAAGAAAATTGTGTTTATTGTGCATCGACTTATGTACACGAGATCACCAAACATGCCAGAAAACAATGTGTCAAGTAATAAAAACAAATCAAATCAACAGAATCTGTAAACAAGAGGTTATATTGGTCTTGCTACAGAAATGACAGATCTCACAGGATTTCACACAAAGTACAGGAAACCCACATACTGGATTTTTGCTTCATCATATTTTCTTTTTAAATATGCTGAATTTTATTTTTTGTTACCTTTTTAATTACTTCCTAAACCATAACAGCTACATATGACATTGACATTTGACACCTGTAGGCTCACTGCAAGATTCCCCATGACTCCACACAAAACTACCCAGGTGTGTCCGAGGCATATCAATCGATCTGGGCGCCACCGTTTATTCCAATCAATCATTGACTGTGACAGCTTGTCAATAAATCCATTGTCAGGAGAGAAATAGCCAGTGAGGCTCCTTCTTCTGCTTAAGGTTATTGGATATAGTTCCTTTACAGGTGATAGATTTGAGTAACTGCTATTTTTGGACCCATCGTGTTATGACTTAAGGATCTACTAGACGTGGGAAAAGAACCATTATGCTATCAGGGAATCTAGGAATATGATCACATAATGCTGATTGTTTTTTGTTCTTGATTGTGACTGGCTTGTACTCAAACGTTTCTAGTGCTAGGACACAAAGCAAATTTGCTGAAGTTTAATCAGAGTAAATTTGAAAATGCAAATAGAAACTGAAAAGAGTTGGATAGTTATAAATACTCTTGTCAATACTGGACTCCAAACAGAAGTAGCAGTGATATGAATGTATCAATATCTGTAAACTGATAATGATTCTGATATACATGTATAACCCCTTGAAGATCCAGGTTAGATTTGTCACTCTGTTCACCCAGCAGTGGGGGGGGCAAGGGTGGCCCAGTTGTCTAAGGCGCCTCGATTTGCTGTGCAGAGTTGCACGCCAGAAAACTATGATTGTGGGTTCGAATCCTGGTTCGCCCCGATTGTGTTTCTAGGTTTTTCAGCACCATACCCTGACATGCCGTGATATAACTGGAATACTGTTAAAAGCGGCGTTAAACCCAACTCACTCACTCACTCATCCAGCAGTGAATGACTGACTGTTAACCTGCTATAGCCTCACTGGTGCTGAAGGGGTCGTTGTCTGCTTTTGGCTAGGGTACATTTCTGTATCCTAAACTGTACCTGGGGCACGTAGTACTTGTGCTGACAACTACCCCTTCAGCCTCACTGGTTGCTTGGGTTGATTACTTCCCAGGGAGCTGAGAATTAAAATCAAGTGCACACTGATTCAGTGACTGGGGTAATAATAATATTTATCATGGTCTAAGGGCATTTAAGAAGTTACAAATTGCAAAGTGTGCAACCCAAGTTCATAATAAAATTATGATGTCAAACAGAGAATATTTTGTTCAGGTGTGACCATGCTGGAAGGATACAGTGGGCACCATGGCAACAGTTTTCAATTGTCTGTTGACAATTTGTTAATTGCCATAATTAAAGAAATAATATACATGGTAAACAAATGTTTGTTTGTTTGTTTCTTTTTATTGTTTTTTTTAATGCTGCAATGAGCAGTATTCCAGGTATAAGTCAGCTGCTTGTAAATAATGCAATCTGGACCAGACAAACCAGTGACTGATATTATGAGCACCTTCTCTCGTGTGTCAGAGTCTACCAAGTCTGACCACTTGATTGATTTATTTGCCTTGGATGACAAGCATAGGTTGTTGGGGACCTGTTCTAACTTGTAATCCCTACAGGGACTAATGTGTCCTGTAATGAATTTAGTTGTTATTCTACATTTGTAGCGGGAGAACAAAGTGAAGGATATCAACTGCCAGAATGCTGAAGGGTTAACTCCCCTGTTGCTGGCCACACGGGACAGCCAGCTGTTTGAGAGGTTGTCATTGCAGCTGAATCGGTCCTACAATCCAGTGGAGGTCATACAGGAGCTACTGGCTAATAGAGCGTAAGTGTAACCATCTGGCCAATAGAGTGTAAGTGTCACCATCTAGCTAACAGAACATCAGTGTCACCATCTGGTTAACAGAGCGTAAGTGTCACCATCTGTCTAACAGAACATAAGTGTCACCATCTGGCTAACAGAGCGTAAGTGTCACCATCTGTCTAACAGAACATCAGTGTCACCATCTGGTAAACAGAGCGTAAGTGTCACCATCTGGCTAACTGAGCATAAGTGTCACCATCTGGCTAACAGAGCATAAGTGTCACCATCTGGCTAACAGAGCATAAGTGTCATCATCTGGCTAACAGAGCGTAAGTGTCATCATCTGGTTAACAGAGCGTAAGTGTCACCATCTGGCCAATAGAGCATAAGTGTCACCATCTGGCTAACAGAGCATAAGTGTCACCATCTGGCTAACAGAGCATAAGTGTCATCATCTGGCTAACAGAGCGTAAATGTCATCATCTGGTTAACAGAGCGTAAGTGTCACCATCTGGCCAATAGAGCATAAGTGTCACCATCTGGCTAACAGAGCGGAAGTGTCACCATCTGGCCAATAGAGCATAAGTGTCATCATCTGGCTAACAGAGCATAAGTGTCACCATCTGGCTAACAGAGCATAAGTGTCATCATCTGGCTAACAGAGCATAAGTGTCACCATCTGGCTAACAGAGCATAAGTGTCACCATCTGGTTAACAGAGTGTAAGTGTCACCATCTGTCTAACAGAACATAAGTGTCACCATCTGGCTAACAGAGCATAAGTGTCATCATCTGGCTAACAGAGCGTAAGTGTCATCATCTGGTTAACAGAGCGTAAGTGTCACCATCTGGCCAATAGAGCGTAAGTGTCACCATCTGGCTAACAGAGCGTAAGTGTCACCATCTGGCTAACAGAGCATAAGTGTCATCATCTGGCTAACAGAGCATAAGTGTCACCATCTGGCTAACAGAGCATAAGTGTCATCATCTGGTTAACAGAGCGTAAGTGTCACCATCTGGCCAATAGAGCATAAGTGTCACCATCTGGCTAACAGAGCGTAAGTGTCACCATCTGGCCAATAGAGCATAAGTGTCATCATCTGGCTAACAGAGCATAAGTGTCACCATCTGGCTAACAGAGCGTAAGTGTCATCATCTGGTGAACAGAGCGTAAGTGTCACCATCTGGCCAATAGAGCATAAGTGTCACCATCTGGCTAACAGAGCGTAAGTGTCACCATCTGGCCAATAGAGCATAAGTGTCATAATCTGGTTAACAGAGCATAAGTGTCATCATCTGGCTAACAGAGCATAAGTGTCACCATCTGGCTAACAGAGCATAAGTGTCATCATCTGGCTAACAGAGCGTAAGTGTCATCATCTGGCTGACAGAGCGTAAGTGTCACCATCTGGCTAACAGAGCGTAAGTGTCACCATCTGGCTAATAGAGCATAAGTGTCATCATCTGGCTAACAGAGCATAAGTGTCACCATCTGGCTAACAGAGCGTAAGTGTCATCATCTGGTTAACAGAGCGTAAGTGTCACCATCTGGCCAATAGAGCATAAGTGTCACCATCTGGCTAACAGAGTGTAAGTGTCACCATCTGGCCAATAGAGCATAAGTGTCATCATCTGGTTAACAGAGCATAAGTGTCATCATCTGGCTAACAGAGCATAAGTGTCACCATCTGGCTAACAGAGCGTAAGTGTCATCATCTGGCTGACAGAGCGTTAGTGTCACCATCTGGCTAACAGAGCGGAAGTGTCACCATCTGGCTAACAGAAAGTAAGTGTCATCATCTAGCTAACTGAGTAAGTGTCACCATTTGGCCAATAGAACGTAAGTGTCATCATCTGGCTAACAGAGTGTAAGTGTCACCATCTGGCTAACAGAGCCTAAGTTTTATCTGTCTAACAGAGCGTAAGTGTCACCGTCTGGCTAACAGAGCCTAAGTGTTATCATGTGACTAACATAACATAAGGATTATCACCTGGCCATTAGAGCGTAAGTGTAATCAAAGAGGTCTGTTCCAGAAAGCGATGTTTGCACTACAACTGTCATAAGTATATGTAAATGTTTAAGATTGTCTTAGCACTAAGATACTTTGTGGAATGGGGCAGAGAGTGTAACTTGTCCTGATCAGATGAACAGAGTGCATGTAACCTCATCTGGCCAACAGTCCTTGACTGACAATTGATGCCTAATGTCTTGATATTGACATTAGCTAAAACGTGTGACTTTTTGACTTTGTCTGTTTGCAGTAACATCCACGCCAGCGACTGTGATGAGAAGACCTGCCTTCACCACGCCTCCCATTCCCGCGCCACCCTAGCGCAGTCTCTCGTGGATGTGCTCATCAGGGAAGGGTCAGAGCTAGGTACGGTGAATGACATCCATTTCTCATTCAGGGAGACATGTCACACGCCATGGATTACAAGTCTCTCAACAACGTGTATATCTGTGTGCGTTCATGAAGATATAAAAGTTTTGGATAGCGTGTTGGGTTGATTCAAACCTTGTGAGTGTGTTGGCTGGTGCATGAGATGTCTAATCCTTGTGTTAAGTAGTGTATTGCTGCAACCTTCATTTTAAACTGTTTATTTGCACTCTCTTATTGTTGGGGGCTTGGGGTGGCCCAGTAGTCCAAGTCTCTGCCGCTCATTATGTCATTGGTTTGTCAGTACCACAGACCGTGCTGTGGATTTCACAAAATACTGGAACTGCATCCATGTCCTTCTGCATCAGATTCACTTTGACTTTCTTCCCATGTTAAGCTGATATCCCGTTGATATAAAATATTGATCCCACTGATGAAATACAGTTAATGGTTACCAAGTGTTAAAAGCCCACACCTCTACCTCTGTACATATCCTGTCATGATGGTGTAGAACATTTTCAATTGTTCTTCAGAGCTGCGTGACAAGCGTCATTTCATGCCGATCCACTGGGCCTCACATTCCGGCAACACGAATGTAGTAGTGGCACTGCTGGATGGGGGGTCAGAGGTCAACTCCAGAGGGTTCGCTGGCCTCACTCCGCTGCACATCACGGTACGTCATCATCTTCAGTTTCCAATTTTTTGTGATAAGAATGATGTTCTATGTTTTACAGATTAATATTGTTTGTATGAGCAAGGTTTGCAAAATACTGTGCAGACTTGAGCTGAGAGAGACATGAGAGAGACATGAGAGACATGAGACATGACAGAGGCATGAGACACGAGAGAGGCATGAGACATGAGAGTGACATGAGACATGACATGAGACATGAGAGTGACATGAAACATGAGAGAGACAATAGAGTCAGTGAGTATGGTTTTACGCCGCTTTTAACAATATTCCAGCAGTATCATGGCGGGGGACTCTAGAAATGGGCTTCACTCAATGAGACATGGGAGTGCCAACAGACATGGGAGAGCCAACAGACATGAGAGCTCCATGAGACATGAGAGTGCCAACAGACATGAGAGTGCCATGAGGCATGAGAGTGCCAAGAGACATGAGAGTGCCATGAGACATTAGAGTGCCATGAGACATGAGAGTGCCATGAGGCATGAGAGTGCCAACAGACATGAGAGTGCCATGAGACATGGGAGTGCCAACAGACATTACAGTTCCAAGAGACTTGAGAGTGCCAAGAGACATTAGAGCGCCAACAGACATGAGAGCTCCATGAGACATGAGAGTGCCAAGAGACATGAGAGTGCCATGAGGCATGAGAGTGCCAAGAGACATGAGAGTGCCATGAGACATTAGAGCGCCATGAGACATGAGAGTGTCATGAGGCATGAGAGTGCCAACAGACATGAGAGTGCCATGAGACATGGGAGTGCCAACAGACATTAGAGTTCCAAGAGACTTGAGAGTGCCAAGAGACGTGAGAGTGCCAAGAGGCATAAGAGTGCCATGAGACATGAGAGTGCCAAGAGACATGAGAGTGCCATGAGACATAAGGGCGCCATGAGACATGAGAGTGCCATGGGGCATGAGAGTGCCAAGAGACATGAGAGTGCCATGAGACATGGGAGTGCCAACAGACGTTAGAGTTCCAAGAGACTTGAGAGTGCCAAGAGACATGAGAGTGCCAAGAGACATAAGAGTGCCATGAGACATGAGAGTGCCATGAGACATGAGAGTGCCAAGAGACATGAGAGTGCCAAGAGACATGAGAGTGCCATGAGACATTAGAGTGCCATGAGACATGAGAGTGCCATGAGACATGAGAGTGCCAACAGACATGAGAGTGCCATGAGACATGGGAGTGCCAACAGACATTAGAGTTCCAAGAGACTTGAGAGTGCCAAGAGACGTGAGAGTGCCAAGAGGCATAAGAGTGCCATGAGACATGAGAGTGCCAAGAGACATGAGAGTGCCATGAGACATAAGGGCGCCATGAGACATGAGAGTGCCATGGGGCATGAGAGTGCCATGAGGCATGAGAGTGCCAAGAGACATGAGAGTGCAATGAGACATGGGAGTGCCAACAGACATTAGAGTTCCAAGAGACATGAGAGTGCCATGAGACATTAGAGTGCCAAGAGACGTGAGTGTGCCAAGAGACATGAGAGTACCAAGAGACATGAGAGTGCCAAGAGACATAAGAGTGCCATGAGACATTAGAGTGCCATGAGACATGAGAGTGCCAACAGACATGAGAGTACCAAGAGACATGAGAGTGCCATGAGACATTAGAGTGCCATGAGACATGAGAGTGCCATGAGGCATGAGAGTTCCAAGAGACATGAGAGTGCCATGAGACATGGGAGTGCCAACAGACATTAGAGTTCCAAGAGACCTGAGAGTGCCAAGAGACGTGAGAGTGCCAAGAGACATAAGAGTGCCATGAGACATGAGAGTGCCAAGAGACATGAGAGTGCCATGAGACATGGGAGTGCCAACAGACGTTAGAGTTCCAAGAGACTTGAGAGTGCCAAGAGACATGAGAGTGCCAAGAGACATAAGAGTGCCATGAGACATGAGAGTGCCATGAGACATGAGAGTGCCAAGAGACATGAGAGTGCCAAGAGACATGAGAGTGCCATGAGACATTAGAGTGCAATGAGACATGAGAGTGCCATGAGGCATGAGAGTGCCAAGAGACTTGAGAGTGCCAAGAAACATGAGAGTGCCAAGAGACATGAGAGTGCCATGAGATGTGAGACATGGGAGAGACATGAGACATGAGAGAGGCATGATAGTGAGTGCTTGAGTTTGGTTTAACGCCACTTTTAACAGTATTCCAGTTATATCACGGGGTGTCAGCTTAATGTGGGAGGAAAGCCTGAAGTGATGCAGGTCTCAGACGTTTATCACTTCGCTGAAACCCACGAGCATGGGTATGGTGCTGACAAACCTAGAAACATAATTGGGGCGAACAAGTATTCGAACCCACAATCATAGTTTTCTGGCGTGCCCAAGGGATGCAACTCTGCACAGTGAATCGTGGTGCCTTAGATGAGTGGGCCACTTGTGCCCCCGAGAATCATGAGAGACATGAGACATGAGAGAGTCATTAGAGACATAAGACATGAGAGAGACACGAGACATGAGAGACACCCGAGAGAGAGAGACATGAGAGACACCCGAGAGAGAGACATGAGAGACACCCGAGAGAGACATGAGACAAGAGAGAGACATGAGACAAGAGAGAGACATGAGACATGAGAGAGGCACGGGACATGAGAGACACACGAGAGAGGCATGAGACAAGAAAGAGACATGAGACATGAGAGAGACATGAGACAAGAGAGAGACATGAGACATGAGAGAGACATGAGACAAGAGAGAGACATGAGCCATGAGAGAGACATGAGACATGAGAGAGGCATGAGACATGAGAGAGACATGAGACAAGAGAGAGACATGAGACAAGAGAGAGACATGAGACATGAGAGAGACATGAGACATGAGAGAGACATGAGACAAGAGAGAGACATGAGACATGAGACAAGAGAGAGACATGAGACATGAGAGAGACATGAGACAAGAGAGAGACATGTTGAGACATGAGAGAGACATGAGACAAGAGAGAGACATGAGAGTACAATAGACAATCCTTCTTGGCATGGTGAGAGGTTACATGATTTAGACACAGAGTGTTTATAAGTCACAGATATAAATTAGCCTGAGCATTAATCACATAATGTATCGGATTATGTTCTGGGTTGAGTTGACATAGATGTTGCATGTTCCTTTCCCTGAGTCATTATTATGGCCAAGGGCTGGCATCCCAGATTTGCCCAAATCATGACCTTGGTTTGTCAGCACCATACCTCTGCTGCTGGGTTTCACCAAGGCAGTGTTGAGGACCTATGTTACTTTGGCCCCATTATAGGCTGACACATGAGAAGTTACTGCTCAAAGCATCAGCAAACGGGTTATACCCTACTTGAGCACTATGATGACCGTCCTTCGTTGAGTGGTTGAGTCGTCTCTGTTTCACAGGCACACAACGACCACAACAAGACAGCTGTGGCGTTGTTGGAGCGGGGTGCGGATGTGACCGTCACTGATGACCGTGGACTGACTGCTGTAGATCTGGCCAAGACGAGGAAGATGAAGACGACACTGAAGGAGGCCTGGGCGGAGCAGACGCACATGAAACAGACAACCACTCTGGCTCCTGTCCGTGCTCCGAGTCGGGAAGAATCTCGCATGTCAATGGACGATTGTGGGAAGAGAAGAAAGGGAGAAGTTATTTTTGATGTAAGGGGTTGGTACTTGTTAAGTTTGTCCATTGAGAAAGGTGTAGATGAACATATTGTCTATAAAACAATTGACCCGTGCAGATCCGGGGTAGAATAGGTCTTCAGCAACCCATGCTTGTTGTAAAAGGCGACTTTGCTTGTCGTAAGAGGCGACTAACGGGATCGGGTGATCAGACTCGCTGGCTTGGTTGATGCATGTCCTCATATCCCAATTGTGTGGATCGATGCTCAATCACTGGTCCAGACTTGATTGTTTTACAGACCGCCTTCATATAGCTGGAATATTGCTGAGTGCAGTGTTAAACAACAAACAAACCAAACCAACTATAATATAATTTATTATATAATAAATTTTCTGTTTTGATAATCTAGAGTGGTTTTCATAAGATTAAATGAAGAAATTCCAGCCATATTGCAGGTTTAACAAAAGTGATAAAAGAGATACGTTATTGTGCAAGGGAGATTACTCCAATATGCATATCCTGTTTGACTATTTCATTTTTTGTCATTTTTATCAGCAGTTCATATTATATTATTTGCTTTCTGTTTTGAAATGTTTTGGAAGTTAGAAGAGAAAATGTACTTATATACTTAGAAAAGGAAATGAATAATTATGAACAAATCTTGTTACAGACTTCTTTCATGAATTTTTTTTATATTCAGGGTCTGATAACATCACCTAGGTCATCCAAGACTGGACCTATGTCAAGTAAGTACATTGTAATCAATTTCTATCAAGGGTTCTACCCTAATATCCAAGAGGCTTGGTTTGTGTAAGAGCATCTTCCATGCTTGATGTTTCTTATCTTCTCAGACATTTCTCAGAGCCTAACATTTCATTATTATTAGAGATCAGATGATAACAATATGACTATGTCTTGTTTAACCGTGGAATATCTGTTCTGCTCAGGACCAACGTTTAGTCGATGTCTGAGCAATGCTGACAAGGCACGGCGGGCAGAACAACAGATGATGAAGGATGTCGACTCGGGAAGGTTCACACCAACACCAAAGTAAGTCCTCATAGTAGAAGTGTCTGCGTTGACGCATCTGTTACTATGTGTTTAAGTTGACATGGGTGTCCCAGCTGTCTGAGGTGCTGCAATTTGCCGTGCAGAGTTGCCTCTCTTAGTTATTCCTGAAGGTGATGATTGTCGTTTGAATCCTAGACTTGGCCTGATAATGATTCTTGTGGGATTCACTAAACTTGTCAGAGTCTAGGACTTGCATCACTTTGAACATCTTGCATGAGCAGTAATTTAATGACGGGTTTTGTGTTGAAAGTAATTGTTCTATTGTTAGTAGTGTAACAAGCTACGGTAATGGTGAATTTGATCCCTTAAATGTTGTAGATGTTTTTGGTAACATGATTAGTATACATGATTGTATACGCTGCAGCAGTGTATCACCCAAGCCATCAGCCTGAAGCACACTTGTTTCCCACAACTACCTGGTCATTCCACGAGTAGGGTGTATTTCCAGATTCTGTTTCTTAGGGGATATCACTTAGAGTATGTCTGCATCGGCAACTAACATATGTAAACTTAAAGTTATCTCTGTCTTTTTAGATCAAAGAAAATAATATCCATACTTGTAATGTGTATTATGTGGAGCCAAACGGGATTCAATTTTTATGAGAAACATTTCAAACTTTTGAAACTTGATTCCAGGGAAAATGTAAGAAGACTTGGAACTCTACGAGGAAGTGCCAAAACATCGACTCTGCCCAAGGTGGTGACCGGGTCATGTGGTCCCCCCTCCAGCCCTGACCGTGCGTCCCCCCAGTCTTCCACAGGGAGGAAGAGCTCCCTAGAGGATGTGGATATCCGGAGGTCCCTGGAAGATGTCCGACCTGGGGGGGTCAGGAGGTCCCTGGACGATGGCCGGCCTGGGGGAGTCAGGAGGTCCAAGTCTCAGAAGTTGGGTAAGAGATACCTGAGAGGTCATGTGAGTGAGTGAGTGAGTGAGTGACTAACTATGGGGTTAGGCTGCTTTTAGCAATATTCCAGCAATATTGCGACGGGAGACACCATCTCAGCGGGAGACCCCATATGCCTGCAATATCACGGCCGGGAACACCAGAAATGGGCTTTACACATTGTACCCATGTGGGGAATGAACCTGGGCTTTTGGTGTGATGAGCAAATGCTTTAACCACGAGGCTACCCCACCACCCCTTGAGCCTGAACATTGTTCAGACTCTCAGCCAATGGGATCTCAACTCAGAAGTGATCCCCAGTAGCTAGGTTGTCATTAGGTGCCTTGAATGGGAATTGGATGGACACAATAGTACTGAAGCTGTGCTGGACTTATCTAACACCCGTGGATTGACAGGATGTTTAGGTTTCTTACTCCTGAAGGAAGTAATTATTTATTCTGTGTAACGTGAAATATGGATCCCATTTTATCGCCAAGTGTGGGAAGATCTTTGGAAATCCCTACATGCCTTTCGGTAGAGAATCAGAAATGAAAATCGGTTTTTATTTTTATTGTTTTCTGTTTCAGGAAATATTCCAAGTGACAGGAGAAGAATCACTCCGACGTCAGCGGGTGAGGTGACGCAGGAGGAGTTCTGTGTCCTGAACAACAGGTAACACAAACAAACAACCCACACGGGACTCCAGGGCCCCACCAACCTCAGCTTGTTGATAGAGGTGACTAAATGGATCGGCTGTTCAGGCTTGGTGACTTGGTGACTTGGTGACTTGGCTCATTGTGTGCCATCATGCCTTGATGGCATGGGATGTAGCCCTTGCTTTCTGTCACTGGTTTGTCTGGTCCAGACTTGATTACTTACAGGCTACTGCAATGTAGTGGGAATATTGCAGAGTACTGTTTAACAAACAAACAAGTAAACAAGCGAACAAGAATCAGGAGAATGTTAAATGCATAGGCAGTATACAATGTAGTGCATATACTTGATACATGAAAGGGCCCAGTTTTCAAGATTTGTTTCACAAAACATTGCTTATGTAGTTTGAAGATGATCCAGGGTTCGTGGCCATTTAGTGAGCGACAAGATTCTGTTATGTGTATATCCTTTGTTATTTTTGAGTGGTTAACTATTTACCATCCATGTTAACTATATATATTTTAACTTGTATCGCTATATGGCTGAAATATTGCCGATGCGATGTAAAATTTAACTCACTCATTTAACTTCTAATCTGACCAAGGACAATTGCAATGGATTAATAATTTGAGCAATCATTTCCACCCAAAATAATACTTTACACTCACAGCTGCTAGAAGAGACTGGGTCACAGTCATCTTATCATATTCATTGTGTGGAGTTGTTTCCCTTGGGCATGCCTGAATCCTATCTTCAGGGGCTTGAATCCCCCATTATAATTCCAAGTTTGGCAGCACCATACCCATACTCGTGGGTTTCACCAGAGTGGTAAATGGCCAAGACCTGCATCACTTCGGGCCTTCCTCCCACATCAAGTTGACATCCCGTGATATAACTGGAATATTGTTCAAAGTGGCATTAACCCAACTCACCCACTCACTTGAGATGCTAGATGATTGATGCAAATATTGATACTATGTTGATACTATATTGATACTATGTTGATACTATATTGATATTATGTTTCTGTTGACATGTGCATGTGACAGTGTGACAAATCATCACCATCTTTCCTCTGCAGGGTATCACCTGTACCACACGAGATGCAGACAAGAGGAAGACATCGCAGAACGGGGTCAGATCCTTTCATCCCACCAATTCTCGCTGACTTAGCAAAGTCATGTGATAATTATCTTCCACGGAGAGGTAAATGATGTGGCTTGTTATGGCTTCTATGAACTGTTGTCTTTTCTATCCTGATTTAGGAAAAACTTGAAGGGACGTATGTAAATACTTAGAGTTATCCAAGGTTTGACACAACCGAAAATGATGAATAAAGAAGGAATACGTACGGAACAAGCTTTTGCTTTGAGACAAGTGTAAGTTCAACACATCAAAGTTCAACACAACGGTGTTCATCTGGATGAGCCATCAGTAAGCAATTCAAAAGTCTTGTCCTGCTTGATGTAACCAGTTGCGGTAGCCGATCGTCACCACTCAACTCCTACTCCGACCTGCCTAGTTGAAACAGCTTGGTTTGATTCTCTCTATGGTAGTCCATTGCTGGAAATACCAAATAAAAGCCACCTTCATCATTTTGAAAATGTTGGTATAAAAATTAAATTAAGTTTTTATATATGTTAATTTAGTTTTGGCCTGTTCATAAGTTGCCGTACTGTTGCTCAGGCTATAACAGTCTCCATCATGGTGAGCATAAGGGTAGCCTAGTGGATAAAGTCTTCACTTCTGGGTGAATATGTGAAACCTTGTGTCTATATCACGCCATGGCACTAACTACCCCCAAGTCAAATCCTAGATCTGCCTCTGATCTCTGTCTTGGTTTCTCCAGGGAGGTCACTGTCCAACAGTGAAGAGTACGACCTGGACAAACAAATGAGGATGACCCCGTTACGGACGCCACTTGACCGGGAGATGACCAATCTCAACATCCCCACCACCATCCCCGAAGTCCTAACCCCTCGCACCACCACCAGTGCTGTGTTTGTCGACATAGGTAAGATCAGTACATGATAATGTGTTACTGATGACATTACTTTCTAATCAAAGTCTGTCATTTACTGACAGATGGAGGCTTAGAGTTGGTCTTCAGCATCCCATGCTTCTAAACAGTGACTAACAGGATCAGGTGGTCAGGCTCACTCACTAGTTGATGCATGTTACCATATCCCATTTGCATAGATCAATGTTCATAATGTCAATCACTGGATTGTTTGATCCAGACTTGAATATTTACAGACAGTTGTCATGTAGCTGGAATGTTGCTGAGGGCAGTGTTTAACATCAAACAAATAAACATTTCCAATGCATTATGTTGTATATTTACAAAAAATACCTGATAAAAGACATTTGAGAGCTCCAAATATTAATATGAATATTTATAGCGATTCTCTCATGCTTTATTTCTGATATTGATTAATGGCTTTTTTCTTTTTTGTTGAACTCCTGCTTCACCTTGTCGTTTCCTTTATAAGACACAAACCGCAGCTCGACCCCAGCACAGCTGATCAGCCTTCATCCCAACTCCTCCAACGTGCTGCCTCCCACGCCAACCTTCATCACCCAGAAATCCTACAGCATCCTAGATGCCAAACTTGTCCACATTGCCAAGGAGGGGGACTCTTCCAAGGTACGGCCATCACCAGGATGTGTAGATGGAACCCTGGTTGTTCCCTAATAATAATTATTCCCCATGAGGTGCACTAGTGTAAAACTCACTTCACATGCACCAGTGTATTGGTTCCGTCATCAGGACAGCATTGTTGAAGTCATTCGAATCTTATTGTGACGTAAGGACAGAATGATGCCACACTAGAAACGATGTCATAGCTGAAGAATGTTGACGTCATTTGACAATTGTGATTTTCTAAAACAATGGTCCTGGTCAGTGTATTTTTTCTGAAGGGGAGCTCAAAGGGACTAAGAAATAATGGGTAATAAAGAAGTTGTAACACTCACCTGTGGTTCATGCTGATTTTATGAAAATTCGTGAAAGAATTCATGTTTTTCCCTTGATGTAGCTCTGGAAATACAGGAATTCTGACTCTCATTTTGTAAAATCAGTATGACACACATGCTAATAATATAAATAATAACAAGAAGAAGAAGTACAACTGTAGCACACTCAAAGCTTGAATAAATAATATAAAGGAAATTGTTTCATGAGCCTTAAATAAATGTGAAAAATCATGCATATCTGATTACATGGACAGTGCTAAACTAACTGTAGCGGTCAAATGTATTCTCAATTTTTTAATTCATGAATGTGTGGATTTAATTTAAATCGGATCTTTTAAGTATTCCATACATGTCAAGATCTGACAGACTCTCCATAGGAGGAAGGATTTCACTGCCCATTCAAAATGTAGTTTGCATGAAGGAGCAAATCAGATGTCGGCTTTCTAAAACAATTCAGACATCAATGTTCCCTCTGTAGTAAACCCTTAGAGGAATATGTGGCATGGTGCTCAGAAATGACAGGGTGTATTAATATCCACAACATGTTTTAGAAACACTAACAGTATATGCTGCTCCAAATGTTTTCAGTTGCTCGTACCATTAATTTAGAAGCCTCAACACTGACTGACTGATTAGAAAGTTCACCCGATGTAACCTCCCATAAAGGGTTAATCCCATCTTGATGAAGAGAGTCAATCATCCTTTCCTTTGCAGGAATGTTCCCCAAGGTCAGATGAAGACCTGCCCAAGATCTCAAAGGAGCAGGTGCGTGTGTTGCTCAGCAACCCCTATGAGTTGTTGCGAAGCCGCTCGCTGCTGAAGGAGGAGTTTGTCATAGATGAGAGTCGACCCAAGGACCCTCTCCTCCACTCCTCAGGGAGCGACCCCACATCCAGTGCCAGCAGCTTGTCCTCCTCCCCCAGGGATAACAGTGTCAACATCCTCATCCTCAACAAGACAGGGAAAAGTGTCAAGGAGTATCATTCCCCACTGTCTAAAGTTGGTCGCTACAGTATCAGTGGTCCGAACAATAATGTCGGAGAACGATTCCGGAATAAAGTCACTCGGAGTAAGAGCTTATCCAGCACTCCCAGTAGATCAAGATCAAATGAGAAATTATCTGAAATGCAGAACGTAGGCATATCAGGAAATGTTTTGAAAAAGCCAGTTTATAAGCAAAACAGTTTGGATTCTGCAGTGCAATCCAAAGCTAAAAGCAGTGGTTCAAATAAGGACATTTCCAAGACAGGTGTGGATCATAATATGAATAATTGTGTTGTGCCTGGTAACGATAATGGTGATGTTCCCAAAGCATGTGATAATTCTGTTCAAGTTTCTTCTGTGAGTGGTGGATGTGATAAAACTTGTGAAGTGACAGATTCGAATCTGAAGTCAAATCAGCCAAATACCATGAGTAGTGCCAGTACAAGACAGCCAAATACAAAACAGGGTAGTAATCAAAGAGTGAGTAGCTCTTGTGGTATTGCAAAGAAAGCTCAAAGTAATTCCTCAGCTAAGTCCTCTACAGGAGTTCAGAATGTACCCAAGATTGTTAGAAACGCTAAGACACCTCAAGGCAATAGAGTGAACAGGAATGCTTCTCCACTGCGATCTAGCAGTGGAGTCACGTCATCAAGAGCAGCAAGTACTCTCACATCAATCTCTGTGACAGTAGGTTCAGAAGAAGACTGTAAAAACTGTTCAGTTATGCCTTCTCCCAGTTCACCTGACACAAATGCAGTGACAATAAGTGTTAATTCAGCTTCCGAAAATATTCCCAAAAATGTGTTATCAGTTTCGAAAAATGTTGGTTCTAAAGAAATAAATTTAAGATCAGGATCTGCCAAACCTGCTGTAGGGAGTTTATCCAAAGGAAATTCTACCGCAATCAACCAGACAAAGCAATCTTCAGTTCAGGCATCTGCTGTAAAAACTAAAGTAACTCCTAGAAAACCAAACACAGCCTCATCCAAGACTGGAGCTACGCCTTCAGCAACACCAGCCTCTGTATCTTCAAAATCAGTTCCTTCAAAGTCAATTCCTTCAACCTCAGTGTCTGTGTGTAAAACATCTTTGAAAGAGTCCAACTCTGTGTGTAACACTGTGTCTTGTTCAACTAAGCTATCTGCTGCTGTTCCAAGCAGCCATTTGCACACAACATCTAATCCAGCCTGTTCTGTCTCATCACCAAACCAACCCAAGTCTGAATCTAGTTCTCAGGAACCTGCCAAGGTGCTTACACCAAAACCTGTGCCAAAATTAGAAAGTCCTATGAAATCCCTTAGATCTCCATCCGATAGCCAGCTCAATGTTAAGAGCAGTAACCAAGAAAAGGGTAACAATATGAGAAAGTCCGACAGTTGGAGGTATGTTAAACCATGTCAGGAAAACAAAGAACCTCTTGTGAGAATCTCCTTACCGGGGCAAGATCCTCGGCCTCATATATCTGAACCTGGCAGTATAGGATCAACTTTTGTCATGCAGACACCGGTCATAGTGAATCCGTTCGAGAACTGGATACAACCTGAGATTGTTATTACATCACGGACATCAAGTGATGACCATAACAATACTGACATTGCCAAAGGAGGAACTTCATCGTATGGTTTCGTTATTGGCAAATCTTCGAAAGATGCTACATGTAAGCTGAAGAAAAACCGGAATGTGAAAAGTGCTAAGAAAACTAAAGACATGAAAAGACCAGTTTCAGGCGGTCAAAGACAAAGTTCAGGTCGTAGAAGAGGTGCAAAGAGTCAAGATTCTAAGACCAGTGAGCAATCTGAAAATGGACGTGTCAAAAGTGGGAAATCTGGCAAAAGGGTTAAGTCTGGTCGAAAGCGTAAAAAGGATTTGGAAACAGAAGCATTGAAAACAAATGCAGCCAAACCTGATGTGGCTCTCATTTCAGGCATTGGGTGGCATGTTGCAGCAGGTTGCAATGACACATCCGATGTGAAGGTCGCAACTCATCTGTATTGTTCTGACTCCGAAGATTCTGATATTGAAGTCATCAACCCTGAAGATAACTACTTTAAGCTTCTAACTGCCAGAACTGAGGGCGCTGTGAGCCCCAGCACACCAAGGTTTCAGGAAATAAAAGCAGCTGCGGAAGTCCGAATTCCTCTTCCTGTGATGAGCCATGACGGCTTTCCTCCCATGAACCTGGACATGACCCAAGAGATGTTTCCAGCACCCAGGTCCAATCAGACATCTTTTGCAGTCAGCAACGCAGAAGAAGAGGAGGATTACACAAATGACTTTGATGACCTTACAAATGCTCTCCATAAGGAGATAATGTTGGGTAAGTTGACTCCAATACCTGAAAGTCCATCTGTGTCTCACAGTGTTCAGGCAGCTATCAATAGGTTTGATCAGACTGTGAAAGAGGACCAGTTGAACAAGATGCTGGGCATCATAGCCGGGGAGTCACTGTCCAGTCAACAGGCTGAAGCTCTGAGACAAGCTAAGCATGATTCGTGTACTTCGGCTGATTCTAGAGTCAGGAGATCAGGATCAATAAGAAAGGAGGTTTTGACACATGAGTCAGCAAAAGCCAGAGTTAAGGCTACAGGTAAAACCGAAAGTCCTGGGTCAGCATCTAAGAAAACTGTTCCAGGAAAAACAGTTGTGAAGAGCAAAGCAAGTAATTCTGGTATCAAAGGCAGCACTTCAAATGTGAAAGGCAGCAAAGAGAACCTCAGTCTCCTCAAGGAGGAACCCAAAGGTGCTGCATCCTCTGAGAAAGGTAAACCCATTGAAGCTGTGGCGAAGGAGGAAGACAATCTTTCCAAAGGTATAAGACGAGAAAGAAAGTTTTCTGAGTCTAAAAAGGAAGATGAGGAGATAGATGAAGCTATTGAAGAAATTCTGAATGCCACGGGGAACTCCCTATCATCAACGCTGAAGTCAAACAACAATAATAAATCTTTAAGTAGTACTCTGACTGAAGCAGACAGGAATGTTCTCAGGAGACTTAAGAACAATGAGTCGATGTTCCATGCCAAAACTGCTGATAAAGATGATGTAAGACATTCTGACAGCTATGCACAAGACACTAACCCAAACCTACTCAAAGTGTTCCATGCGGAAAATTTCAACCTTGGGTCAAAGGTCAAGGCGATGATAGATGCTGGTGCTGATCCTTCAAAGGTCAAGGCTATGATTGATGCTGATGAAGAGGCAAAGCAGCTGGCCAAGGTGATGAACTCTTTCAGACACATGGAGCTTCATGCAGGAGGTGCTGGAGGGTCTGTGCGGTTGTCAAAGGACACACCAAGGAAACATAACTCTGTGCCTAGGCCTGAAGGCAGCTCTGATGGTCCAAGCATGACTCGTAAGCCTCCCTCAGGACGACCTTCTTCAGCAGGAGGTCTTCGTAAAGGAAAGTTTCATGAGATGAAGGCAATCACTCCAAGAATACAAGGAAACCAGTCTTCTCTCAAGGTAATTATTCCAGATTTCAGGGTTCAAAAGTCTGTTAGTCAAAGACTCGATGGGATTTCCTTGTGGCCTATAACATTAACCATTAGGTAGATTGCAACCCTGTAGCAAATCCTTATTGTTGGGTACTGAAAATAAAATCAATTCCTAACACTTGGTTCGGGTGGGGGTTAGCCAAGTGGTTTAAGTGTTCACTCATCACACCAGAGACCTGGGTTACATCTCATCAGGGGGCACGGGTGGCCCAGTCGTCTAAGGCGGCGCGATTCACTGTGCAGAGTTGCGTCCCTTGGGAACACCAGAAACCTTTGATTGTGGATTCGAATCCCGGTTTGCCCTGATTATGTTTATAGGTTTGTCAGCACCATACCCGTGCTCGTGGATTTTACGGAAGTGGTAAAGGTTCGAGACCTGCATCACCTCAGACATGCCATGATGTAACTGGAATAATTTTAAAGCGGCATTAAACCCAACTCACTCCCACATCCCAGCAATGATACAGTGTGTAAGCCAGTCTTGATGTTCCCTACTTTGAATGGATATTCCTGGAGTATTCTATAAAGCAGTGTAAAAGCAGAGTCCCTCACTCACTATGAAATGTTTATGAAGTCTATTTAGAAGTAAGCGGAGAGCTGACGAATAACATGAATCTCAACACATTTTGATGAAACATTAAAAACAATATAAAGATGGTGTGTACTGTAACAATTTAAGGGGTTGTTGCTATGTCTTTTCGGCATATGTTGCTGTGACTGACATTCTATCTTTCTTGGGACAGTGGGAAAGCTAAACGTTTGGTTTGTCATGACGAAGACCTGTTTCAATTCCCTGCATGGGAACAAAGTTTTTTTGTTTCCTGCGATGATATTGCTTGAATTTTGCTAAAAGCAGAGTAAAACCAAACTCACTTGCTCATTACTTTTGTCCAGCATGTTGAGACATCCATAGTCCAGGAGGAGATGGATGTTCTGGAGAAGTTGTCCGAAGCTGTAGCTGCTGAAGTTGCAGATCCTATACTTGCCAACACATCTGATGGGGAGGTGAGCCCTTGTAGAGTGTCTGCTTATGGGCCCACTTGTCAACCAGTACTTTATGGCAAGGCCTGATACTAATGTGTAGCATGCTTACGTGTATTACCAGGATATTCTTATGATGTCAACTGAAATATTTTTTGCTTATTAGAGAACAAGAGGCTCCATGCGTATAGTGACTGAGTAGTCCTATCTGTGGAAAATCTTTGAAACTCTGTCTTGTGTATTGGTTACCATGGAACCAGTCTCTACCTCAGACACTGGTGGATGAACAGTCCCTTGTATTGGTTGCCTTGGAAACCATTTTCCCCCTTAGACACTGGTGGATGAACAGTCCTGTGTATTGGTTACCTTGGAAACCTCCCTCCACCTCAGACACTGTTGGATGAACAGTCCTGTGTATTGGTAACCTTGGAAACCATTCTCCACCTCAGTCACTAGTGCCTGATGAGCCCTTGATGTCAGTAGCAATTAGTACGTCACATCTTTGTCACCGTGTATCCTACCCTGCAGACCCTGTGCAGTCGACTGAGTGGCCGCAGAGGGAGCAGAACAGGCAGTGCCTGCACTGAGGACAGTATTGGGTCCAGTATTGAGGAGACAATTCAGTGGAAGAAAGGAAATGTCCTTGGCAAAGGAGCCTTTGGAACCGTGAGTTTCAGTCATGTTCACCTTTCAGAACAATTAAAGGTTTCCTATGTTTGGAATTGTCCTATTCTGACACACTTTGAAAATACATATTCAAATTTGAGTAATATTTGGCAATATTGACACAAAAATCTAGTGAGGTGTTCTTTGTGTTTAGGAACCAGATCATCATGCACAGCAATGATGTTGTGCCAGTCCTAATCTCATGTGATGTTTTTTGGGATGGACTTGAGTGAAAAAACATATCTTGTCTGATGCTTGCTTGATCATGTGTTTTCATTGTGTGTCAGTATATTTCTTTACATATTTTCCATTTTCAGTGTTATAGAGTAATTTTAGGTTGGGAAACTTTATTTTCCTTTTATCATCTTGTCAGTTTGGATTGATGAATAACTTGAATGAAATAGGTTCACACCATCACACTGAACCCACTGTTTTTCTAGGATTAGATTTACATGTGTCTAACCAATGAGGAGGAACTGTTAGCTGTGATACTGATGGTAGCATGTGATATATTTCCTATATTGCCTGTGCGTGGGTGTTTGACCTGACCAGTGAAGAGGGTTTGTTAGCTGTGTGATATTGATGGTAGAATGTGATACATATGTTGCCTCTGCGTGGGTGTTTGACCTGACCAGTGAAGAGGGTTTGTTAGCTGTGTGATATTGATGGTAGAATGTGATACATATGTTGCCTGTGCGTGGGTGTTTGACCTGACCAGAGGGTTTGTTAGCTGTGTGATATTGATGGTAGAATGTGATACATATGTTGCCTGTGCGTGGGTGTTTGACCTGACCAGAGGGTTTGTTAGCTGTGTGATATTGATGGTAGAATGTGATACATATGTTGCCTGTGTGTGGGTGTTAGACCTGAAAAGAGGGTTTGTTAGCTGTGTGATATTGATGGTAGAATGTGATACATATGTTGCCTGTGTGTGGGTGTTTGACCTGACCAGAGGGTTTGTTAGCTGTGTGATATTGATGGTAGAATGTGATACATATGTTGCCTGTGTGTGGGTGTTTGACCTGACCAGAGGGTTTGTTAGCTGTGTGATATTGATGGTAGAATGTGATACATATGTTGCCTGTGCGTGGGTGTTTGACCTGACCAGAGAAGAGGGTTTGTTAGCTGTGTGATATTGATGGTAGAATGTGATACATATGTTGCCTGTGCGTGGGTGTTTGACCTGACCAGAGAAGAGGGTTTGTTAGCTGTGTGATATTGATGGTAGAATGTGATACATATGTTGCCTGTGTGTGGGTGTTTGACCTGACCAGAGGGTTTGTTAGCTGTGTGATATTGATGGTAGAATGTGATACATATGTTGCCTGTGTGTGGGTGTTTGACCTGACCAGTGAAGAGGGTTTGTTAGCTGTGTGATATTGATGGTAGAATGTGATACATATGTTGCCTGTGCGTGGGTGTTTGACCTGACCAGAGAAGAGGGTTTGTTAGCTGTGTGATATTGATGGTAGAATGTGATACATATGTTGCCTGTGTGTAGGTGTGGTGTGGGCTGACCAGAGAAGAGGGTTTGTTAGCTGTGTGATATTGATGGTAGAATGTGATACATATGTTGCCTCTGCGTGGGTGTTTGACCTGACCAGTGAAGAGGGTTTGTTAGCTGTGTGATATTGATGGTAGAATGTGATATATATGTTGCCTGTGCGTGGGTGTTTGACCTGACCAGAGGGTTTGTTAGCTGTGTGATATTGATGGTAGAATGTGATACATATGTTGCCTGTGCGTGGGTGTTTGACCTGACCAGAGGGTTTGTTAGCTGTGTGATATTGATGGTAGAATGTGATACATATGTTGCCTGTGTGTGGGTGTTTGACCTGACCAGAGGGTTTGTTAGCTGTGTGATATTGATGGTAGAATGTGATACATATGTTGCCTGTGCGTGGGTGTTTGACCTGACCAGAGAAGAGGGTTTGTTAGCTGTGTGATATTGATGGTAGAATGTGATACATATGTTGCCTGTGCGTGGGTGTTTGACCTGACCAGAGAAGAGGGTTTGTTAGCTGTGTGATATTGATGGTAGAATGTGATACATATGTTGCCTGTGTGTGGGTGTTTGACCTGACCAGAGGGTTTGTTAGCTGTGTGATATTGATGGTAGAATGTGATACATATGTTGCCTGTGTGTGGGTGTTTGACCTGACCAGTGAAGAGGGTTTGTTAGCTGTGTGATATTGATGGTAGAATGTGATACATATGTTGCCTGTGCGTGGGTGTTTGACCTGACCAGAGAAGAGGGTTTGTTAGCTGTGTGATATTGATGGTAGAATGTGATACATATGTTGCCTGTGTGTAGGTGTGGTGTGGGCTGACCAACGAGGGAGAGCTGATTGCTGTGAAGCAGATTGACCTGAACACTACAGACATGGACAAGGCTCACAGAGAGTACGAGAAGGTGCAGGAGGAGGTGGAACTCCTCAAGAATCTCCGACACAAGAACATCGTGGGGTGAGTGAAATACCTGCAGTGTTTCCCTTCACCAGGAGTTACCAGCTAGTGACCAGAGGAATTCCAGAAGATGCTCTCTTCTTTCAAACCTTTGTGGCAATTCCCTGCATTCAAACCTACATGTAATGACTTGACTTCTATATATATATAATAGACTTAAAAAATGACAAAAACATGTGATGGCATGGGATGTTGCTCATGACTTCAACCACCACATTTACACTCACTCACTCACACACTGTTTTTCAGATACATGGGCACAAGCTTTGAGGACTACACAGTAAGCATCTTCATGCAGTTTGTGCCGGGCGGATCTATCGCCAGCATCCTGGCTAGGTTTGGAGCCCTGGATGAGTCAGTGTTCCGACGCTACACTCGACAGATCCTCGAGGGCGTGGAGTACCTTCATGAGAATGATGTCATACACAGGTGAGCAATCCCTCCCAGGAACTATAGGGCTAACCCTATCTTCTATTGCCCTGCTGTTAACTGTGCAGAGTTACCCCCCTTAGTTGTGTCAAAATCTGCTGATTGTGGCTTGAAATTCCAGATTCATCAAAGTGGTAAACATCTTTGACTTTTCACTTTGGAATTTTTTCATCATTATATGACTCTGTATGATATGATTTTGTTCAAACGTGTTCAAAGTAATGTTATATGTTAAAGTAGGGGAATTACGTTCCTCCTACTGCGGAGATTGCTTTGTGGAATGGGCCGGGCCCTGGACTGAGTGTGGTTTTGACTGTATTGTCAGATGATTCTGTATGAACCATGGCACCATGTTGGTTTGTACTATTCCATTCCTCTCAATTTTGTCTTGTACTGGAATATCAGAATTTTTTTTTTTCTATAATGTGAAATTATGGAAATTTCAAATTCTTTACAAGTCTATTTTTACCAAATTTAGGATATGCAAAACTGATTTATATTTAGTTAACTTATTTAAGCTCTAAGACTGCTGATGCGAAATTAATCAATAATCACTCACTCACACAACCACTCCCAACACTTTAGGTTAGGTAAAAATTAACAAAAATTGAATTCTGTGGAAAAGAAAATGTTTTGAAATGATTCCTTAAAATGGAAAATTTGTTTTCCTTCACAAGTTCCAATATTTCTTTCTTCAGAGACATCAAGGGAGGCAATGTGATGTTGATGCCCAATGGTGACATCAAACTGATTGACTTCGGCTGCGCCAAGAGACTGTGCATCAACCTCAGCATGAGCCAGAGTCAGATTCTCAAATCCATGAAGGGCACTCCATACTGGATGGCGCCGGAGGTGGTCAACGAGACCGGCCATGGCAAGAAGTCAGATATATGGTGAGTGGTTTGTGGATGTGTTTTAGGATAGAATTGGGCTACAGAGGAGGTTATTCTTCAGCCAGATGACATATTTCTACATAAACATGCTGTGTTTTCAATGTAGAGCTAGGTTACCTGTTGATCTAACTGCGCTAAATTTTGAACAGTGCAGAGATGTGGCTGTCAAATGAGTTGTTTCAATCAGTTATTGTGGTTATTCATACAGGTAGTTATTGTGATTTAAAACCTCTGACTGAACAATCAGAATTGAGTATCTTCTTAATTCATGATTGAATTATTATTTTTCAGCTTTAAATTTGTTTATTGTAGTGTGTCTGTGAATAGTTTGAGAATCAAGTTGACTGACTGAGTCTGTCATGACAACATCACAATAAAAGACTATGTATAGCTTCAGTGTGTATTTGTATATGATAAAATATTTTGTATCAAGACCTACTTAGAGGTCTCACCCATCTCTGGAGCAATGTCAGTTAACATTCCCAAATTAGAATTAAGAATATCCCAATTCATGTCAATGAGGTTATAACTTCTGACGCTGCACTGTAGGCTTAACTTGTAATGCTCTGATAACAGGACCAATGAAGAGGAAAAGACTTCAATGTTTAGATCTACATTATTGCACTGAATGCAATACCCCAGGTTTCAGGAAATATAATATTTAAAACTATTGATTTCTTCCCACTGTGCCTGCCAAAGGCACTTAGTTTAGAATCCTAGATAGATACCTGGTGTGCATAGCTTCAGTATGCGTTTGTCTCAGAGATGTTTTTCCCTTCTGTTGTTCAGGAGTGTGGGATGCACTGTGTTTGAGATGGCCACGAGGAAACCACCTTGGTGAGTGACACTCCATATCTTGTCCAAGTATGTCAAGCATTGTTTAATCTGTACAGTAAACGTCTGCCATAGATTCTTGGATTCTCGGCAGTCCCTAGTGTAGTCCATGCCTTTGTAATATAACTATTGAGGGTGCCAACCCACTTTTGTATGCCGGATGCGAGCTGTTAGGTGGTATTCCTGATGCCACAGTGCACTACGCTGAATGACATGAGTGAGTGAGTGAGTGAGATGGGTTTAACACCGCTTTTAACAGTGTTCCAGTTATATCGCTGCGTATCAGCTTGATGTGGGAGAAAAAGTCCGACGTTTACCACTTTGGTGAAACCCATGAGCACGGGTATGGTGCTGACAAACCTAGACACATAATCGGGGCAAACCGGGATTTGAAGCCACAATCGTTAGTTTCTGGCGTGCCCAAGGGACGCAACTCTGCAAATTGCGCCGAGTTGGCCGACTGGGCCACCCGTGCCCCCTGAGTGACATAAAACATTTATCTGATTTGCTCATGTTTGCCAATATTTCAATGTTGAAATGCATTTTTCATTCTAGTTTTCTTGCAAAAAGTGACAAATCAATAAAATATTGAGCCCTAAGCTTATAAGCATGAATGGTCATGCATTCTATGTGGAGATCTCAGCCTGCTATACACCAGCTGTGTACACTGGGCTGACTCATGAATACTTGCACTGGATGCCAGGTGGTGTGATGGGTGCCTGGAGGAGTAGATTGGCACCCTCACTAATGTGAACGTGGTTACAGTGTGTGACCTGGCTGATGGTGGATCACGGTAAACTGACACTGTGGATTGTGCTCATGCCATCATCCACTCATCCATCGTTCTTGAAAGAATGACATAGAAGTAATTGAAACCTCTTATTTTCGGGATACGATTTTTCAATACTGTCATGTCAAATATCCTTTAGGTCGGACATGAACCCAATGGCTGCCATATTTGCTATTGGATCTGATAAGCCAGCTCCCACTTTGCCAGAGGACAAGTTCTCCCCGGAAGCCAGGGAGTTTGTCATGAAGTGCCTCACAAGGTCAGTCTGCGTATTGTTTTTGTGTATTAGTTATCTCCCGTCACAAAGTCTAGGGATGATGTAGCATTTGGTGCTGTCTGTGTGTCCGCCACAACTCCAAAACAATGAGAAATATCTTCACCAAACTTTGCACATAGGTGGGTCTAGTGATGAACTGGTGCCTTTGGACAGTTTGGGATTTTTGAAAAATTTGTTTTTCACGTTTCCATGGCAACGACTTTGACATAGACTGAAAATGGTGGTAGTGCTTGTTTCTGGAGCAGGTCTTGAAAATCGTACAATATTTCTTGTCCAGACATCTCATATAGTGGGAGATATGAGTATTTCATGCTTGTTTTATTTGTGAGTTGTTTTCTTCAGGAAATGTACAGCTCAATATCTCCTTCGTATAGTGAGTTCCCCATTTGCAGTAAGGAACTACCGGTAGTCATTTGTAATTTGTGTTATCTCTGGATAAATGAATATGTAATCATGTGAATCTTATTCATTTCCAGGGATCAAAACATCCGTTCATCGGCGACAGAGTTACTTCAAGATGTTTTCATTCTGAAGAAATCTTCCAAGAAATAACCACAGATCTGTCTGTTTGAAAGAGTGAGTTCTGATAGTGTTCTGGTTCATGACATGCAAGGCAATAGGAACACAACAGCTGAGTGATTGTGCCTTTAGAGTTTCTTGGGCTCTAGCTTTTGTCCATTTTGTCAGTCAGGACAATGATGGGTATTTGCATGAATAACGATGACAATATTTCGTACACAGTGACATTATATGATAACAATGACATTGTATGATGGTGGAGTATTACAAATAGAAATGTTTGCTGGTCAGGCTACCTGTACACGGTGCCGATTGTTTCTGGGGAGCAGGAGAGTGTTAATGTCTTTCCCTTCTTACAGTGACATGCTAATGTGGGATCTGACTGACACAAAATCTTACCTTAAAAAATATAATCATACACCATATATTCTGAAGATTTACAGTTTGTATATTTAAATATTAATAATATTAAAAATATTTAATGGAACATGCTTTATTTCCCTCACTATATTGTCATGTTTTTTGTAGGTAGATATACTTTATTGACATTTTTGCAGAGATTTGACAATATTGAGTTGTAATTTGATTGTATAGAAAATGTTAAACCTTGATATTTAAGTGGCATTACTGTGTTTGCTGTTTATAATGTAGATTCATGTATAGATTGTTGTAGTCATTGTCTAACCCAATACTAAGAAGCATTTGCCAGTGGATAGGGGCTTGTTGCTCACAATATCAATCACATTGCGATGAAATAATCACCTCACATATCCATTTTCAAGGGGTGAGATATACATATGTAAATAAAGTGTATAGCATGTATAGAACTGGTTCTCATGGCATTGGAACATTTTGTTGGTCATATTGCAATGGGCGTGTAAGTGATTTTTTAATTGTAAATAGTGTATATTTTTTAAATGTTTTATTATTTAGTTTCATGTAAGTATATATGTCCTGACCAGTTGTATTGGTTTTGTTGTGTAGGTGTGTAACAACAAACATGTTTTCAGAGGGACAGCATGTGTTTTCAGCATTATATTCCATGAAGGAAATATCATACTTGTTTGGTCACCACTACAGTATTGTTTTTTATAATGCAAAAGTATGAAATGGCAGTTTATTAAGCCTATCACTGTACTATTGAGGATTTGACATAAAAGTAGCTTTTATTTTGCAGGCTCAATCCATTCCCTTTATTCCAGGCCAATCAGCAAAATTGTGATAAACTTTTTTAAGTGAAAGCATTTATAATCACTGAAACTTGATTTAAATTGACATTAATAGTCTATGATATTCAAAATATAATTTCTATGAAAACTGCACAAATGGCATGTTATGATTGTTTAATTAATCTGTTACTAAAATGAAATACATGTATGTGTAATGTTTAGTCTTATGCTAAATATTTGTGGGGATATATTTGCTGGGTCATCACTACTAAAAGAAATTCTTGAAATTATCCCTAACCTTTTTGTTCGGCATATATGTGATTTGGAGATATATGTATATTTAGCAACATCAAGCTCAGTACTTCTGCATATATATACAGTCAAGTCTCGTTAATCCGACACTCGGCTTTATCCGACACAAATGATGGGAACCGATTGATTCAGTGCTATTTAGTCCCGTTAATCCGACATTCTCGCACTCCGACTCCGACACACCTAATTTGCAACGAATTGCCGAAATCACTCATTAATCAGTCTCGTTAATCCGACACAGTGATCAGCGTACTCCGTGGTCATCTGACCGTGAGTACACAACCCCGTGTTTTGACACGCACTGGCTGCAGAGATTAACTTAACAATTAACAGGAAAAGCTATTCAAACCTGTATGTACAAAGCTATACAAATGTAGTTTACAAATTGAAGCCAGATAAATGTGCATGAAGCAACCAACGATGTCGGATTAACGAGACTTGACTGTATATATGTATTTGTACATAAAAAGTGGCTGAGAGTTCTCCACATGGTAATTGCCTACGCATAGGTGGTGATTTGAAAGAAGCATACCATACTTTATTTGAACAGAGAGATGTCTTACTTCTACAGAGGGACAGGGCAAGTCTAAGGCACCATAATTTGCTGTGCAGAGTTGCATCCCTTGGGCATGCCAGGAACTTATGATCATGGGATCGAATCTTGGTTCATCCTGATTATGTTTCCAAGTTTGTCAGCACCATATCCATGCTCATGTGTTTCACCAAAGTGGTAAATGTCTTTGACCTGCATCATTTTGGGCTTTCTTCCCACATCAAGCTGACATGCTGTGATATAACTGGAATACAGTTCAAAGCGGTGTTAAACCATCTCACTCACTCTACCGAGAGGAGAGATGTACACTGACAAGAAGTTGTATTGTTTTCAAAGTGCTGTTTTACTGTGTCTATTGTTCTTGTATGAGTGATCAGTATCTGTCCTGGGGTAGGACTTTGTGTGTTTATTTGTTGGATCACAGATAACGTCAACCTTAGTTTCATAAAGAAATTTTATTTTTTAAAGAAAAATTGACACTTACATTTATTCTGCTTACACATCCCGTATCTAAAATTATGTTTTGTGATTACCGTATTCGACGTAATAAGCGCCCCGTCCTAATAAGCGCCCAAGGCGATATTTGCTAATATATTGGCAAGTGAACGATCCCAATTAGCACCCCTTCCAATTGATCAATGTAAACAAGAAGTATTTATTCGTGTATAATACGCACTCGTGTGTCATATGCACCCTTAATTATGGGCAATTAAATTCTGGAAAATATATCTGTCGTGTATAATACGACTTTTCTTCTGTCGAGAAATTACGATCTTTCAACTCTTTTTTTTCTCACCAAAATAATATTCCAATAAGAGCCCCCTATTTCTAATTTTGAGAGCGCCCTGGGCGCTTATTACGTCGAATACGGTACTCAGTGTTTTAAAGAAAATAACCAACAAAACAAATACAATGCTCAATTCGATTTCCATGTTTTTCAACATTGATCTGTCACAGCTGCTTCTTTGCGTAATAAATCTAGAGTTCTGTCCCTTGATATACAGACTTTTACAAAATTCCTCCCACAAACTTTGAGAAATACCAACAATTTGGTACGCTGATCGAGATTGAAAATAAAATGTACCTTGGTTGAAACTGATGTCATTCTTTTTCCTTCCTCCTATTTCTGGCTGCATCTTACCTTGTTCTTACCCTGTCTTATATTGGTCGGCTCGGAGTCAGTCTACTGTGTCTGAGTGGGACATCCGTGTTAAACTGCGGCATGGTATCTCAATGGGCTAGCACTAGAAAACCGGCAGTAGTCTGGACTACATGTGAACGCAATGTTAAACCCCATTTCCCCACACCTCATCTCCCCCTTTATCTGAGTTTGGCAGAAATGTGACTGATCCAATAAATACAATATGATGGTGTTGTTGTAGTGATGTAGCTGGTGGCGGTGTCGTCCATGTGAGCATCTGCTGATGACCCAGGGAGATCTGGGTTAGAAGTGGTCTTCAGCAACCCATGCTTGTCGTAAGAGGTGGACCCGGTGGTCAGGCTCGCTGATGCATTTCATTGTATCCCAATTGTGTGGATCAATGCTCATGGTGTCAATCACTGGATTGTCTGGTCCAGACTCGATTATTTACAGACCGCCATCATATAGCTGGAATTTTGCTGAGTGCGGCGTTAAACAACAAACACGCAACAACAAATCATCTGCTGATGTCGTGTCCTACTTACTTACCACGTTTAGATAATTGTAGTCTAGTCTTCCAGTTTGCTCCTTCACACAGTCGGGGGGAGCTGGGGTCGAATCCAGGTTGAAACAGTTTGTGGCATGTCTTCTTTTGAAGTCATTTAATTTTGAATGCACTATGTTTTAGTTTACAGCTGTAAACAAACTTTTTTGTAATGGTTGTCATATAATTATGTTGAAAGTGATTCTTTTTGATTATGTTTCCATAAATTGAAAAAAAGCTAAGCCACTCCCATAAACGGACAACTGATTGATAAGAGAATGGATGTGGCTTGTGTTGCGGTATTTCGGTGAACATGTCACTGTTTCAGAATTCTGTTTTATTTGTGTGTTAATGATTAAATAAGCAGTCTGTGACATTATTATTGTTGACATGTTTATTCTTATTTCTGAGAGTTGACTTCAATATATGTTTTTGTTGTTAATTCATAGATAAATGATGAATGTCATCGCTCTTATGCTTCCACAAAAATTAAAAACTGTACAGGACTTAAAGATACAATATCACACAAAATTATTTTGTCGAAAAGTGTAAACTGTACTAATGAGGTCAACCTTTTGCAATTCGTTGTCTCACAAACTCCAACAGTATACTTCCTGACTCTGATATGTTGTGACTTGAAAATCCAGATTTTATCCAATCTTCTTACAGTGTCATCTACAAGGCTGCCCACAAAATTGTCAGCAATACAATATAACAGATTGCTTTATTTTCTTCTTTTCATGTTGTATAAAACAAACTGACAGATTTAATTCTATTGAGATTGGTAAAAAGTGTATTTTCTTCAACCACTAGTCAGCTGTGTGCAGGTACTCTTGTGAAGTTTTCAGGATTAAGACTGGTAGGATGCAAAAGTCCATCAACTGTATAAACCTGAAACCTTATGGCTGACTTTGTGTTTAGAAATTGCAATTTCTGCCTCTAATATATGCAATAAACTCCTGATATTATTTCATGCATAATACTACTGATTTACCGTCATACATATTCTCATATCTGATTGTATAAAAAAAGTAAGTATTTCCATTGTAAGTAAGTAAGCATTTTATTTGTGTCAAAAACAGTTGATCACGTGGAAACAGGGACCAAATTAGGGACCGACCATTTGATATTGTGGAGGGGGCCTGGGATTTTATTGCCAAAATAAATTGTCCAAGAAATTGCTTGAAAAAAATAATTAAGCTTCAGACTATTGAAACAAAATAGAATGTCGGCCACAAAAAATACATTGTTGGAAGGAGTTTTTTGTAAAAGAAATTTAGGCTCAAAGTTTTAGTTAAAACAATAATGATTTTGTGAATGTAGCTAAAAATATATCTGGTCTCCATACAAAATCCAGGCTCCCTGTAGAATATCAAACGGTCGGTCCCTAAATTGAGATACCCTCCGTTTCAGAGCAATATGAGAACCTGCAATGAAATCTCTTGTCCTGAAGAATCTGAGAAATAAGTGGGTGCTTTTCTTGTTATTTGTCCATGGACAGAGCAGCTTCTCTTTGGTCTGACATATGAGGAAGTGACCCATCAACAGTTTGTGTAGTGCTTGGGCAATGTATTGGAACATACATGGCTAGTAGAAACTGAATATGTCCAGAAGGATCCTAAGGATCCTTCAGTCCTGATCAATTTACTTTCCGTTAGAACCAGTATTTAATTGGTTGTGTCCTGAAGACTACATTGAAGGGAGAAGTATGCAGGGCTGGCCGCACCATTTCAAACAAGGCTTTCAAGAACATATTTGTTAATGGAATATTTTGCTAAAGCAATATTTCATGCCATCCAGATTGATCCTTGTTAGCCACGGTCACGATGTCCTCACATCAGATGTGACGGCTTGTAGGGGGTGGAACCAGAGGAGGTCTGGTACTGTGCTTAACAATTGCAAAGCCTCTTTAACTCAGCATTGATGATTTATATTTTTTTGTACATAAATGTTTTTGAGAATATTCTGAATCAATAGTGTATGCTTTATTTTGATAAGAGTATTAGTTGTGAATGTAAGTTTACATTGCTCCACATTTAATTCTGTATTGTCAGCTATAAGCATTGTGTGTAGATAAACCTGTATATACCTGTACATCCAAAACTATTTATTGGATGAGCTGTGTTCTCATGGAACATCACCATACCATTAATTTTATAAAGAAATAAAAGATATAAATTATGTTTGTGATCATGTCGTATGTTAGATTAATGTTTGTTTGTTGTTTAACACAGCACCCAGCAATATTCCAGCTATATTACGGCGGTCTGTAAATAATCTGGACTAGACAATCCAGTGATTGACATAATGAGCATCGGTCTCCACAGTTGTGATACGATGACATGCCTCAACCAAGTCAGCGAGCCTGACCACCCAATCCCGTTAGTCGCCTCTTATGACAAGCATAGTCGCCTCTTATGACAAGCATAGGGGAGCATAGTCCCCTATTTGCGACCAAGCATAAGCTGCTGGAAACCTTATATGTACCCCATGGAGATTTCACGTGGGAGTAAAATAAAGGTGTATATATCAGATCATACCCCTTATACCTAAAGCCATCTAAAATATACAGAACCATGGTTTGCTGGTTGTCGCTGGTTATGTTGAATGGTGAATCAAGGTTCCTTCTCGACTATCTGGATACAATGTGTGAAACCCATACCTAGTGTCCCCTGCCATGATATCGTTAGTAAACAGGAATTGAAATGCTGGTTAAAGGTAATGCAGGCATGAATAATTGACGTTGACTGTCCATTCGGGAAACATAATGGCTTGTTTCACGAGAATAAGATGTGTGTTAACCGTGGTGACGGCTCTATACTGACTCTAGCACAGCGACTGATAAAATTAGGTTTATAAATCA